AGGAATGGCAGAACCCGCTGTTTTCCGGTGGTGACCGGCTGAACTGCATCCAATCCCAAAAGTAAATATTCCTTGGCACACAATCCACATCGACATAACAGGGAAATAAAGCGGCAAGAGTGACCAAAAGGAGTATGTTATTGTTCAAGTTGACGCGTTTACCAAATATGTCTATCTTAGTCATACCCTTAAATTGGACAGTGAGAGTTGCATAAAGGCTGTCAAATCCGCTATTTCGTTGTTTGGAGTACCAAACCGAATAATAGCTGACCAGGGAAGGTGTTTTACTGGAGCAAAGTTTAGTGAATTTTGTTCAGATCACAAAATAAACTTGCACTTGATTGCCACCGGTGCTAGTAGAGCTAATGGCCAAGTGGAACGAACAATGAGCACGTTATGTTAACGGCGGCTGAAACTGGGACACAGTCTTGGCAGGATGTGCTAGGAGAGGTGCAGCTACTTAAAAACGAGGAAAGGCATCAAACCAAGCTACGCAACCACCGTATCACCTGATTTACCTCCGTGTGAAATCTGGCTATTCCCAAAACATAAAAGACCACTCCGGAGGAAGGATTTGACATCAGTTATGGCGAAGTTGCTCGATTTATAGTTCAAAGATCGATCTGCCAACTAAATTTGACGTCGAAGTACTTAAACAAGATCTAAAAAGCGATATTGGGGCGGTTTCACTCCAAGTCAAACATCTAACAGTCGACAACTCTCGTCTCAAAAAAGAGGTAAAAAGTCTACGCGCAGATAAAGAAAAAAAATTGAGTTGTTAGATGTCAGAAGGTTGATAAAAGCTGCAAACTAGCTGTCAAAACTACTTTTGAGGAAAAACTGCACTCAAAGGGTGGAAGGGTTACTGATGTAAAGCTTAATGACCGGAATGGCAAAATGATAATTCTAGTGGAATAGGAATCCCAAGTAGAAGCGGAGAATATTTTTAAAAATGGGCAAATTGCGTGGAAGTCAGGTGTTTCTTAATAAGGTTTAGATAGCGAAAAGTACAGCTAAAAAGGCTTCTTCTCACCATCCACAGAGATGTAAAGGTGAAAGTACAAAACGACAGTATCAAATTGGATGTATGTATGTACGGAATCAAGTTTAGACATTATTGTTCATCCGTTCATAAGCTTAAAGTCCAAGCCCAAAAACTTCAAGGATACAAAAATAGTGGCAGGAATAGATAATAAGCTTTTCTATAATGATTTATTTCAACACATAGCGGGGTTTCAAATTTTCATTTCCTTCAAAACATTTTTTAAGTCCAAATTGGATGCAGTTGAATTCGAATTCAAATACTTTGTGTTTAGATGGGTGCCCGCCATGCGAACAAGCTCTAGAGGTCGAGCAAGCGACGGAATAATATATGGAAAAAAAGAACTTCACGAACAGAAGTAGGTAAAAGCATTATTACCCAACTGAGGATTGTAGAAAATGAAAACCTTTAATTACTGCCAGTGTATATTAACTGCAATCATTAGGAAAGAAATTCTGGGAAGTTATACAAGGTTTTTGATAAGCTCAACATCCCGGATTTGACCCACATTTAGTCTCAAGCTACCTTAATGAAGCCGGTAACGCCAGAGACAATGTGAAAGACGCCAATGGCCGACAATTCACGGTGCTTATTGGAAGGTCGGCTAGCAATCCATCTATGAAAAGAGAAGCTCGGTCCACCATCGACCTATGTTTGGTACGCGGTACATGGGTAGAAACCACAAAGACTAGAGGGTACAATGATACTGAGAACCCCTGACGAAAATAAAGTTTTTCTCACTGAGAGCATTATTAAAGCTGTTACTACTCGACGCTAAATAAAGCCTAAGGACTTTTAACACGAGTGGTGCACGGATCAGTGTAAAGCAGCTCCAAAATTCAAATATAAAATGTTAAGGCAGGCTATATCGACAACCTCGACAAGTGCAGAGGTAATGTACCATGATGCAAACGGCATATATAAGATAACTTGTCTAAACGCTCGGACGCAATTTTATATAAACCTTGCGAGATCCTTGGATTCGATACGTGGCTCTTTGCAATGCTAGATTAAAAAGTCAGACTTTATTTGCGATGTTAAAAGATTCATCCCCAAAAAAAAAAATTAAAAACGCTGTATATTTTCCAATCTTTAAGAAAGGCGACCCAAAAGTGAAATCTAACTACAGAGGCATCTATTTTCAAAATGCGATAGCTAAAGTCTTCTCTGCACTATTACTTGATCGGCTGAAAAACTGGTTAAAAGACTACGATATTCTTAGCGAATTCCAAGCCGGTTTTGGAATAGGATATTTGACAGTCGCCAACATTTTCAGCCTCATTAGTGTAGCAAGCTCATATCTCTACAGCGTAAAAAAGTTATACGCTTTCCTTGTAGATTTTGGAGCTACTTTTGAATCTATAGAAAAAGTACCCTAACCTACAAGCTATGCAATGTCGGCAAATAAACAAACCTTTTAAGCGTCCTTCATGAGACGTATGAGATGGAAAGCAACGATCCAAGTGGTTTACCTTTAAAGCTGAAGATAAGCCAGGATGTCTACTCATACGACAGATGTTGCTACTAAAACTAACCGGTATTTAAACAGGTTTTACAATATGATTTCTGGTGGCTTTTAAATTACAAATTTTGTTCCGATAAATGTGTTTTAATAAGGAGACTTACTGCATTATTACAATATGAAAAAAATTGCGTTTACAGGGCTCCCACTCAAGCAACCAAATGTGGTCTCTGCGTACGCCGTGGATAAGTGTAAGAATTTCTTGTTAGTTTCCTTAGTAACATAAAATCAGTTTTTATACAGAACTCAACGATGATTCCTTATTATTTAACTTTGAGACAAAAGATGGGTAATCTCATAAGACTTAATAAAAACATTTCCTTAAATTTGTTCTTTTTTTGGTGCGGGCTATCCAAAAAAATATTTAGGGTTAATGCCTGTACAGGCATTTTATATTGCATAGTCTCAAATAAAGAAAATCGTCAGAGCCGTCGTTTCACTTTCGATATTCATACGAAGCTCATCAATAGTCGCTAGCTTCTTGGCATAGACTATAGACTTGACGTAGCCCCACAGGAAATAGTGTAACGGTACAAGACCGATGCGCCCAATTGACTGAGCCATTTCGTGAGATAACACATTCACCAAACTTGTTTTTTAATAACTCGATTGTACCATTAGCTGTATTGCTTCTGGCGCCGTCCTGTTGGAACCGCCTAATGTTCAAGTCCATAACATCCAATTCAGGCTAAAAACAGAACGACGTTTGACAGACTGATTTGGGTATTCCTCAATTGATGCGCTAACGGCAGCCATATTCTCGACACTACGGACTCTTCTCTGTCCCACTGGCACGGAATCACTTTTTACTGTGCCTGTGGATTAAAATTTTTACACTACACGCAACTAATAATTTCGACTCGTTGTTGGATAGTATATCTTTTCATGATGGAATGGCAAAACCTTACTGATGCGAAGTGTCAAAAGAGCGGGAAAAATATTTCCTCGTCTGCTTTCCCTATCGGAATACTATTGTAGCGTCCCTATTGAAAAGAAACCGTTATAAACATATATAATGTACTATATTAGTAGTCGCCTTCGCTCACTCTTATGGTACGCATCGTCACTAAGTGGACTGCCGTCCATGCTAATAAACACCTTAGGAACTAACTAATAAGTGTTCCTCGTACTTGTTAAAAAAAAAAAAAAATCTTAAAGTATGTGGCCGCTAGACTGGTAAGCGTTATGCGTTATAAAATGCGGGATATAAAGAAGATAGGTATTGATGAGAACAATACATTTTAGTTAAAATTTTTATTCTAGCATCAAAACTGCAGGAGCCACAGTTTTGGGCGGTTTGTGGGCGTTAGAGTGGGCGTGGCACTCTGCTGAAATGCTTGGAACGCTTCCTTCCGCCTGTTACATACTTTCCGACGAATAAGGTACACCCTTTTACTCTACGAGTAACGGGTATAGAAAGAGAAAAATGTAGCTCGAATGCCAAATTTCTCAAATATTTTTGGCAACAAGTTTTCGTAATTATTCTGTGGCAAACCTACATTCGACAACAACGACTCAAATGACACTTTTTGTGTATGGTTTCACATAAACTTTTAAAAATATGGCATCAAAACTCAATTATGGTTGTCCGGTTTTCCAGAGGATTCCTTATTTGCTTTATGATTTAATCCATGGTGGTGTCACGTTTTTCAGACCGTGCCCATCCTTAGACTCCAGTTATGGAGTTAGTTCAGTGTAAATGCTAATAGTTAACTTTATAGGAAGACGAGGCCTTACTGCCAAGTTTAGGCATGGGAGATCGCAATAGCCGAGCCAGCTCAACTAGCTTCAAAATATATATACTTATATCATTATATCTATCTGGCTATAATGTCATTGGCGACGTTCTTGCCATTACTTAGGAACTAAAGATAAGATTTAAACCATTTTCAGAGAGGCAACATTTTTTTAGGCCTGTTGATTTGTATGGTTGAGATCAATTTCAATCAAATGTTGTATTCTATCCATAAAATGAAAGGAGTCACCGTTTTGGGCACTTTGTGGGAGTTGATGGGCGTGGCAGCTCGCTGCAATATACTTGCGCCAGAATCTGTAGAATCTGCGCGTGTTATACAAACTTTGTAGATTTTATAGTTTCCGAGACCCAAGCGTGTATACGGACAGACAGACGAACATGGATAGATCGCCTCGGCTAGTAATCCTGATAAAGAATATATATACTGTATAGGGTTACATACTTTCTGACGAATGCAATATACCATTTTACTCTACGAGCAACGGGTATAAACATCATCGCATGAACATCCGAAGAGCGATAATGGTTTAATTTGAGTTGGTTCATTCTTAAATAGGAAATCATTTCAGTCACATTATAGGGTAAGAAATACATATTTTGACCCGTTACATAATTTTCATGATATACAAAAAATCTTTTAATTCAACAAGGAACTTGAACTTTTTTTTAATATTGTGTACCTGAGGATGATTTAAACCAATGTTTACTCGGCTAAGCATAGCCAAGACAAATGCAGCTGTTTTGCCTGTTCCAGACTGACTCTGCGCAATCATATTTTGTGGTGGATCCGCAAGAAGAGTTGGCAAGGCTGTTTCTTGAATTTTCGATGGAGTATTAAATCCCATTGCATAAATTCCTTTTAAAAGGGAAGCTTTGCTATAAAATATGATTTCCAAAAATTAATTATTGAGACGTAGTTTTAAAGTGTGTAGACAAAAATTTATACTTGTACTTACAGATGAAGGGCCTCAAAAGTTTTGATAGAATGCAATGGTGAATTCGGATTTTTTTGTTGTATGTCAAGCGATAGCTTAGTGTTTACCAGACCCTTTCCCAAAATCTTTATTAGTAGACTTGTTTCAGCCGGACTGAAAAAAAGCAAAATATTTATTTAACAAATGGAATGTTCCAAATGAAACAAGAATGGAAGCTAACTTCGGCAAACAGCTCCCATTTCATGCAATCAAAAACGTACATACATACTTTAGTCGGGCTGTTAAAAGCAGACAAATCTTAAATCTAAACTCAAATGTAAGTCATAGATTGGTGTTATAATATCGCGGTAATCTGCTGTGGTCGGCATTGACATGCTTTCACCCTCGCGGTTGTCGTGTTTTTTTTTTATTAGCCGATAACATCGATCCTTTATCGTTCAGATAAGCTTAAACTGAAATTTTGTCACAGAAATATATGGCGTAAAAAACGACCAATTGGTTCGCCAAACGAAGATTCCGTTGTTTTACCGTCTATCTTCTCTCAAAGAAGATTTCGTTCAGATAGGTTACAATTTAGTCGCAGTTTCAGTTCAACAAATATAAAAATGGCTGATCTACATCTTCTATCATTGGTTTCTGAGAAGATCGCCTTTTTGAAACGCAAAGCTGAGGTTTCTTTTGACAGCCTCAAGGTTATTGGCAGCGAAATAACACCTAACAAAATTGGAGCAGAGAGTGTAAACGATATGGATGCCCACTTTAACCAAACTAATCAAAGTAGGCCGACTTTTTTAGCGCATCAAGACGTACTTTTGATTTTAATAAAATTGTTCAACCGGTTCGAAATGAATTTGATGAAATGGCATTACTTCTAGAGTGGAGTTTGTGAGGTCACATTCAACAACCCAAGGGCTAAAATCATCCGAAGATTACCACGCGCCACAATGAATCACTAACTTTTATGATAATCAATCGATCGTGTGTTACCAACCTAAAGTTGCCTACTTTTGATGGAGGATGGTACTCATAGACAAGGACCTGGTGTTAACCAACTTTGTAAAGCTGCAGAGCCTACGGTTTTGTCTATTAGGCCCAGCGCTAAATGTAATTAGGTCGCTAGATATATCGTCAGCCAACTATCCAGTGGCTTTAGATCTGTTCAACAAACGGTATTCTTGTTTTCCAGTCCTATCGTGGAGATTCTTGGTCTCAAGAAGGTAGATTCGTCTGCGGCAATCAAACTTCGGAAATTTTCGGACAAAATAAACTCACATGAGGGGGTTTGGATTCTTTAGGATCAGCTCAGGATATTGTTGATACGTTTATCACTTTTATGCTGCTGCAAAAATTAGATGTTGCAACGCAAACTAGTTGGGAAGAGATCACTACCACCAAGGACAAGATACCCTTTGAAAAGAAATTTTATGAAATCTTGCAGAATCAATGCCGAAAACTGTAAAACCTTTAGCACGCCATCGATTATTATAATTGGTGTATTGATGATTTTTTACATTGAGTTGCTGCTAGAGTTAATAAAAATATGATTTAGCATAGTTCCGGACCCACCTTCGAAGTTTTATTTGGGATTAAACGGATCAGCTCATATATATTTATATTTTTTTTTTAACCTTTACTCTAGAGCAGTGGTCGGCACACACACACCATCACAAGTTTGTCTTGTATTAGTGTGAGTGTAACAAACACGAAGTTTGCGCGCGGCGTGCTGAGCCCTGACTAAAAAACGCGCCGAAGCTGAGATAAATATGACCCGAAGACCCATGCCGGAGTCACACGAACATCTACGTTATACGTGAGCGAGCAGAGGATGGAACACTTTCCTATGCTCACTAGATAGGCCGCTGTCGACCCCTGCTCTAGAGTAAAGTCAAGGGGTATACTAGATTCGTCAGAAAGTACGTACCAGCTAGAGGGAAGCGTTTCTGACCCAACAAAGTATAATCTTGATCAGCATCACTATTCGAGTCGACCTAGTCCGTATGTACGCTGTGATCTCGAAAACTATAAAAGCTGCAATATTGGGATTAGGAAGATTCTTGCGCAGCGCATGTATGTTTCCTCAGGGTGCCACGCCCACTCTAACGCCCACAAATACACAACACCATTCAAATGAATGATGATATCTCGGAAACTATAACTACAGCATAGCACCCAAAACTGTGATGCTCATAGCTTTGATGCTAGAATAATAAATTTAACAGAAATTAATCGGTTTCGTCAATACGTATTGATTGCCCTAAAAAAAAACTTTGCCATGCCCTCAAAACTCTCCAAGAATTTAGGAAAAGCAATGACGTCTGAGCCAGACAATAACATATATATTTGTATTTATGCAGGTGAGTGTTTAAATAGTTGCAAACCGAACTGCTCGGCAAATTTAACTTTTTTAAACAAAGCTGTTCCACAAAATATTTTATTAAACAACTAATGCAAGCATTTAATTTTAAGTAAATGTACATAATACGCTTTAAGATTGTTCATTTGCAGCAAACATACATTAATATAAGTGTGGTTTGCCTGTTTATGTATTTTACTCTCTTGGCGCTTTCAAAAACATAAGCATATGGAGAAAAATGAAAACGAAAAGCGCTGCCGGCGCTAAGTGAGAGCAGAGTGCGCGGCTAACGTGTTCTATTAAATAATCAAAAATTTAACTATTTGTCGTTTTTGTCTTCCCCACTATCTTCCCAATAAACTCAATAACAATTAATATTATCTAATTCCGATCAGGTTAATGTATAATTTAAATCGCTAAAAAACAATGTTGAGTCGCGGGCTTCTCGCTCTTTGTGTTTTCTCTGCATACTGACCGGCAAGGCATTCACATGCTCCAAAAAGAGAGAGACGGAAGTTCGTTTACCCGGCGTTGCAAAGCACTAGACGGCAGTAAAAGGACCGAAACTCTGTTCAAGTTAAGTTGAGGGGGAAAAACTTTAAGGGGCTGTACAACTTTCTGTTTTCCCATTAGACTTTTTAAGTGTATTACAATTATAAAGCGGTCATCTTAACTTTATTAACTTTTATATTTTAATTCAAAAGCTGAGTAACGCGTATCTAATAGTCAAAACACTCGCCTAAAGCGTTCTCTCTTTTTTTTATATTTGTTTTAGATTTGTTTTGTTGCGCCTAAAATTTGAACTTCAGTACTAAACAACGATAGGTGGTTTCAGTTGTTGTTAAACTTTTTTACGTTTTGGCAAATATTATTGTATCGAGAAGATGCTCTTTGGCCTTCCATATTAGAATTAAAATTTCGTTTTTAGAGTTTGTGTATTTTCTCGAAGTTTTAGCGAGGTGATTGACAAAAAGTGTTGTACAGTATACGTTTTTCGAATTAACATTTTGTGCTGTTACGCTTAACAAGGGGCTGTAAGCGCGTTGCAGATGGCACACAGCTTTTACCGAATCTTTTTTTTTTGAAATTATACTAAAACAATGAAGTTTGTGCGTTCTGCTGCAAACAGTCATTTAAAACTATTTACAGAAATAAACATACAATTATTAAAATAATACTATACATACACCGAAAATGGTAATAAAATACACATTTTATATCAAGTGACTTTTTAATTGGACCGATTATTTTACGAGGAATATGCACTAACCCTTTGCTTAGAATGGTCTTTTTAAATTGAGCCCTTAAGCCACCATTGCCGTTTTTAGGTTTGGACAATATATATAATTGGGTTAAAAATAAAAGCTGTGTAACAAAATGGCGCGACATGTACAAGGGTGTCATCGAAACCGTCGACGACCTTGTGGTTTTAAGACGCCAAACCAAAATTTTTTCCGCAAAATACTAATGCTGGGTACATATGCTAAGCATGAAAAATTTAACTTCATATACTAAATATCTATTATTCATTGACTTTTTGACTATTTTGTTGTTGCGAAATTGCTGCACAATAAATGCTTGTTTATACAAAAATTTGAAAAAAATGAAAAATTTTAACTTCCCGTCGCTAAATATACGAAACAGCACTGTCCTAGCCAGCTGGTTGCGACTTTAAAAGTCTATCCAATCATTTCTGTTAAACGGACGAACAAGATGGCCAGGTTCTTCTAAGCAGTGGCCTTAAAATTTCAAGTATTTTTTGTTGTTATATCGACATTTTCTTGGGTACATTTTTGCTGAAGCGACAAAACCTGCAAGTTTTTATTAATTTATCAATAACTACAAGTTGTTTTTACTTTATATTTTTGTTACATATCAATATTTATTTTAAATTTTTAGTAAAAACTGTACTGTACAGTTTATTGTTTTTTGTTTGACAATTGCAGAAGGTATTATGATTTCAGTCAGAAGTTTGGAATGCTGTGAAGCAGTGATCACCATCACTAGACGATTAAGTCCCAAAAGCCTTCTTTTTATTGCATGTAATAAATAAATCGAATCGAGACGTATCAGAAAGCTTTATCGTCTTTATATTATATATATAATACGAATGACCGGAAAAATGGGTTACAGCACTTTTTTACGATTCAAGAATTTCGAATAAACTTATTTCTTAATCGGACGAATACCATATAGCTGTAGTAGCAACAATCAATATATTTATGTAAATCTTCCGAACATACAAAACAGAACAGTAAACGCTTACTTAATGAACCAATTGCTTATTATACATACTGTTCAAAATAATCATAGGGCAAATACATTTTGTTTTTAATATATGTTTAAGTATTAATTTGTATTGACGATAAGGAAAAAATAAATTTATGGAGTAAACAAAATAAATATTTATTTTAAGAAATAAAACAAGAATTAAATATTTATTTAAAAAAATTATATATAAATAAAATATTTATTCCAATCGCTTTAGTGAACTTAACCTATTTGGCGAACGCCCTCGTTGTTTAAAGGTTAAAAAAATTTGTATTTATCATTCACGTTTAGTGGGATAAACGCCATTTTTGACTATAATTTTGTCCGGCATGATTGCTTAGAATCCTTTAAAGATTACGTCCCCTTCCTATGAACCAAATAAACCCAACTTTTACATAATCCTTAAAAGTGTTATAGCCAGACGAATTTAATTGTTTTGCGCCTAAGGCGAGCGTTTATTTAGGTAGCCATAGTTATTGACGAACACAAATCTTTTATATATTTTATATAAGCATCAACACTAGGGCAT